CGTTCGGTGAGCTGTGCATTCTGCTTCAGCATTTGACCATTTCTTATTTCTACTTTAGCATTCTGTCATTGTGTCTCAATGTCTTTTTCTCTCTCCGATCATTTGCATATAAAATGGAGTAATTTCTCTTTTGTTAATAGCAAATAGGAGCTTCTTCTTTTATCTTCGAATCATTCTGAAGCTTGACCTTCTCATATAACAACTGTCCATCTTATGCTCTTCCTTAATATTTTAATTCCTTATACGTCCGCATCTACATTACATCACAACTTTGCTTCTTCTTCCTCTTTACCCTCCTTCCCACCTCCCTTCCTTCCTCCCTCTTTCATTCCTCCCTCCCTCCATCCCTCCCTCATCATAGATATCGTTAAGACGAGCTAATCTATAAGTGTTGTAGATCTCATTTTTTTTTCTTTTTTTTTTGTACTAATAGATCTATTCTTCACTTCCTTTACTTCCTCCCCATCCCACTCCCTTCAACCCACACCTCCCTCTCTACTACTGCTCTTGCTTCATTTTACTCCTTGTTATTCAGTTCACGTTTTTTTTCTTCGCCATCTCTCTCTATCCTTTGTTAACAAACTAAATAACGCGTGAAAGCAGTTTACGTGAAGATTACACGTGTAAATTAGCATAGCTAGATGCTGTTCATTTTCTGTAATTTAGAAGCTATGAAGCGGTTGCATTCCCCTTTCTCTCTTTCACTTTCCTTCACTCTCTCTCTCTCTCCTTGTCGATATTTCATTTTTTTCTTGTTTTCTTTCTAATTAACATCTTTCTTTTTTTATTTCGACACATTTATTATTGTAAATTGAATATACATATGTAGATACATGTATTTACTAATTAATCATGTTCCTACCTTGTTTTTGCAAGTAGAAGATGCTTCAAATTCCAAAAATATCGTGTGTGTCAACGATATGTGAAGATCTATTCCATTCATTTTCTGTTTCGTAACTCGTCTCTCCCTCTCAATTCATTCATCCTCCCTCTATATCTCTCTTTTTATTTCTTGACAGAGAGAAAGTAAGCGTTCAATTGATCCCTCTCTCTATGTCTATATCTCCATCTCCCTCTCTATCTCTTTTTATTTCTTTACAGAGAGAGGGAGAGAAGTCAGCGTTTTATGTTTTTAAAACAAGAACAATAAAAAATATTAGAAAAATATGCCAAATTTATAGTTTCTTTTGTTAAAAAATGCATTTTGGTGTGGCTGCATGTGTGTCTGTGAGTGTGTGTGGATGTGAAAGAAAATGAAAAATGGAAAATTGATTTAAACTTTAACTTAAATATTCATAAACAATTAAAATTCAATGAGATTACTATAGAAGAAATGTATGAGAAAGAATGAAAAATTAACTTTTAAGAGCAAAAGATTTCTATAATTAAAGGTTTTTCCTTTGTTTAGTAACACTACGAGAGAAAGAGAGTGAAGAGGTGGACTAAGGAGAGAATGAGAACTAGTACGAAGTGTGAAAAAGGAGAAAATGGATAAAGTAGGGGGTAAACGCTGTCAATGAATTGTTTCAAAGTCATTTCAATTCTTCTGAACGAAGTAAGCACAGGGGGGGAGAGGTGAGTGAGGAATAACGATTGTCATTGAAAATCTTTGTTATCGAAGCCAAAGCTCAAATGTTTACCCAATTATTTCATTTTTTTTCTGTGTTTTCAGTTTGTGAAGCTTCTCAACTCAAAACGATATGGGGGGGAGGAGGTGTTTTTGACCATTTAAAGCTAACTATATGTATATAGTTAGTCTTTGCTTGCTTCTACTTCTCTTCTACTATGTTCATTCTGTTTTTTCATTGATTTAATATAAAAACCTTTTTTGTTCTGTGCATTTAATCTTTTAATCCTCCATTTCCATCCGCAATGTTGCCTTGGTTACAACAATACCCATGTTAGTCATTGGGTCATAACATCAATGCTCTTTATATTAACAAGATAAGCTGGATATTGGGAATGCGAATGAGCGTGTGGGAGAGAGGAAGCAGTGAAGGTGTATTCTGATCGCAAATAGGAAAAGCAATGAATAAGAAAATATGGAAAATTTTAATGTTTTTATTCCATCTATCTCTGACCAGCTTCCAAAGTTTGTTTGTTGATCGAGCATATCCGTTAAAGACCATATTTGAAAGGGTAACGGATGAATGAGAAAGGAGAAGCAGGAGATAATGACGGAAATTACGAGATTCGGAAAGAAACACTTTTCTTGACGGCTTAACCAGGAAGATGAGTTCCAACTTCACACGACACTTGTTAGTTAAGAAGCTATTCTTTGTACTTTTAAGTCTTTAAACATACTTAATGTTGTTCTAATCTATTTTCTATTGGATATTTAGTTTTTTACTTTTTGCTTCAACGCCTTCTACTTCATCTAGTTGTTGGCTATTCCTCCTTCTTGCGCTCACATCAACTTCTTCTAACTCCCCTACTCAACGTTTTCCTTATTTTTATAATATTTTTCCTTCTCATCATCAGATGGCCTGAAGCGAAAAGCTACTTTACCTTCTGACACAAGATATTTTCATTTTGTCTCTAAGTTTTATACTTCTCAATAATATCATTTTTGAAGTTCTTCATTTCCAAAATAGATCCATTAGCAAGCCCCGCAACAATTTTTTTTTCTCGAAAAAAAAAACGAAAAAAAGAAAATGAAAAGAAAAACGAAGAAAAAGCAAGAAGCTTCTTTTGAGATTCGTTTTTTTCGTAACATTCTCAGTGTCTGAGGTGTTTTTCTTTCTTCTCATTATACAATCTGATTTGCTTAATGGTTGAATCTCTTCGAGACCCGTTTATGGCAAAAGTCAATTGCTTCCAATGATCACATGTGTGTATGTGTGTGTGTGCATGTGCATGTGTGTATGTGTGTGTGTGTGTTTCAGAAGCTTATTCTCTGATTCTTCTCATGTCACATATGCTGTACTAAAGCTCCCACAACCTTTTTTTCTGCTTCTCTCCTCCTTTTTTTTTTCTTTGTTCTATCCATTGAATATCCATCAATCTCACGTAAACATAAATTATAATTGGTAGCTATAAATGGAGATTGGAAACGAAAACTGTCACAACGATCATCTGATTGTTGAAGTTTGACATTCATATTTACTTTGAAAAGTTCAGAACTTAGGTATTCCTAAGTACGTATATAAATGAATTGACAACATTCAACAAATGTGAAAGAATGAAACGAAATGAAACAAAAAGGTAATGAGAGTGCTATAGAAAAGGAAAATCAAGCATTCTCAAGCATTATCCAAGAACTTCAACTTCAACTACAACAACGGAATTATTACTTTTTCGAAACTTTAAGCAAATCTGATAAAATGTCGAAATAGACACGTTTCGCCATTTTCATTAAAATCCATTTTTTTGTTCTCGTCGTTTACGTCCTCCCGTTTCAAGCCGTTCATTGAATCTTTTTTTTTTTTGGTTTTTTTTTGTCTTATTCAGAGACTTTTGCTCTTCCATCTTCTTCTCTGCTTTCTTCTCCGGCTTTTTTTTCTGTTTCTTGATGTTTACTTCTTCTTAACACCGTCGATCAGTTTCACACGAATTTGACGTCGTCATCATCGTTGATTGGGTCATATACGAATGCGATCAGAGTAGGAGAATCAGAATATGAAAATTCATTTAACGATCCGCTGTTGAAAATGTTAAAATATGGAAGCTTTTCATGCACTCATATGCCAACAAAATTTTATATCAAATTAGTCGATGTTCGTGTCGACGACAACGGTGGCGTCGCCGGCCTCCAAGACAATGATCGGCTTTTCTCACTTCATTCTTGGTTTTTCGTTGAAAATCTTTCCATTATTCTCAGTATTTTTTATGTTTCCTGCTCTCTCCTCTGTATTCTCTTCTTTTTCTTTCAAAAAAGAAAAATTGTGAATGTTTTACTTTGCTACCTTCAAAAATGGCACCAGTGAGAAAGTGAGCACAAGAAAAAGCAACCGTTCAGCCACGTGGCGAAATAATTAAATGAAAACCACGCGTTGTGCTCATGTGAGCTGTACGTATGAAAATGAAATTAACATATTTCATGTTTAACCTTCTGAAGAGAACAAAAAACGAGTTAATTGATTGTTGAACCTTTTGCTTCCAAACCAGTGTTCTGTTAGATGGCGGAGTATCTGACTGCAGATGTAGATGTGCATGTGTATGCCTGTGTATGTAGGATGGGGGTGATGTGCTGTGTGTGTGTGTTCGTATTAGCTATGTGATCAGACTGTAATTTAGTTTCGAATGAATTAGCTCGTCATCAGTTGTGTGAAATGAAAAATAATTATTGCATAAATGGATGATTTGAAGGCTTCCAAGAGCTTTTCCAATTAATGTAACACATTGACTTCTGGGAGAATTTTTAATCAATTTTCAGAACTGTTGTAATTTCGCGCTTTTGAAATGCAAAAATATACTTTTTATATATTTATTTATTTCTTCATCTCATTCTCATAGAATTACAATTTTTGAGTATTCGGAGAATCATTTTAATTCCCTCTAATTGACGGTTTTCATTTTAATCAATGAATAACCTGCCTATTATGACAAAAGCTCAAAGAAGAAGCTTCCTTGTACTTTCTTCCGCCTCTCTCTCTCTCTCTCCCTCTCTCTCCATCTTCCTAATCATCATCTCCTTTCTCCTTTTCCCGTTTGATTCGAAAATATCTTTAATTTTATCAATTTTTCAAGCAAAAAAAAATTTTTTTTTCCTGTCCCATTTTTTTCACCATTTTAACATCTGTTCGATGTTTATTTATTCCAAATATGTACATATTCTTCATATTATTGTGATTTCACTCTTGACTTTGGCAACGTATTCTCTCTGCTCTCGTTTAACAATTCTATTGATGTTTTCACGGATTAATCTTTCATTGCTTTTCTTATAGTTTGTCTTGGTCGTATCTACAAAAGCATTTTTCTGGACGAGGTTGATGACTTCCTAGGAAATCCAACCGCACAACTGTATAACAATTGAGAAAATTATTGAAGAAGAAGAGCATATGGATCGGTCGTTCTGCAGTGTTCAGCCGCAATTCTCACTGCAAGCTCCGGCTTTAAACTCTCCTGTTCGACATCACCGACCATCATTGAGTACGTTCTTTAAGCATTTTTTACTTTTTTCTAACTATTTTGTTATTAAGCTGGACAGTCTGTTGACTCAGCAGCCAGTGTACGACGATTCTTGCATGATAGACGACGAAGTTACAGAAATCGGAGCTTGGTAAGAAACATTTCATCGAACAATACATTATATTGTTTCATTGTTGTTGCAACACTAATCTCACTTCCTCATTTAAAACAGAGTATCAGAGTTCGTTCATTTCAGGGACCAACGATAGCTTCAGCGCCATCAGTAGAACAAGAAGATTATCGAACACCCAAGCCATCATTTGACAAAAATGGAAAAAGTTTCGATTACTGTTCACACGCGCACAACTCATTAGCATCTGATTCTAACGGCCTTATAAAGGTAATTCAGTTATTCCTATAACCAGAATGTGAACAATGAAAGAAGAATGATAAAAGAGATAACGTGATCGAACAAAGAGAGTATGAACTCATGCTGTCCTCTTAAGTTGTTCAACATCTAATTCAAAGCTTAAGACTTGTACTAATATGCTATTTGAAGTATATGAAATACTATTTCAGTTAATATCGTAAAACAAATTAATTTTTCCTCAAAAATTAAATTATTTTTATATTTCGAGCAAAACCTCTATATATGGTCTCATATATCTCAGCTTAATATGAACTTTCTCTCATTCAATCTCTTTCTCTCTTCATATCTCAGTGGGCGATGAGATCCTTTGAATACGTAAAATGGAATCAGAGAGAGAGAGAGAAAGAAAGAGTTTTGAAGGAGGAGGAGAGAAAAGATGAGAAAAAATAGAAACTGAAGAAAGTTTTTTGTTCACACAAAGTATGGAAAAATTATCCTCAAATGTGATTGTGTTGGCTTGAAGATCTGAATGAGAGCAGATTTCTTTCATCACGCATATACTATTTTCCACTACTGCTATAAGAATGACAGAGAGTGAAAACGAGAGAGAAGTAGGTAGAGCGAAAATAAGAGGTAGCTAAAGCAAGGAGGAAGAAGAAAAAATCTTTTTTTTTAACGGAAGAAGCTTTACAACCTTGCGTTAGGGCTTCTTCCTATTCTGATTTTTGTTCGTTTCGCTCTTCTCCATTCACAGATTGTTATTATATATAAGAAAACGAAATGTTTTTTGAAGATTGTACAATGAATGAGAGAAATCTATTTCACACTTAATGTATGAACAAATGCATATATTTTTTGTTTTTTTTTCTGATAAGTTTCAATGGTTTTTGTCGTTGAATGCAATCATCTTCAATACTTCCACTTCTGAATGTTACCCTGAGGACACGTTACTCATCTTCGAATTCTAAGTCTTCAACACACTCTCATTGTTATAATGCAAACATTCATCTGTTGACAAATGAACTTGTATAATTTGCATACTTTACATCAAACTTTCTCACGTGTGAATGCATTTCACGTGGAACGCGTGAAGACGACCCGCCGCTCTTTCCATTTGTCATATGATAGGCCAATGAGCGGTTGCAGATGCATGAAAAAAACTATTTTTCTTTTCCGCTTTCACTTCTTCCTTTTCCTTTTCCTTTTCTTTTTTATTCTTAAAAATTTTTTGTTTCAATCGAAATTGCATTTTATTCAATTTTTATCAGTTTTCCGTTTATTAAGCATTTTGTGTTGGCCAAAATAAGAGATTAGTTTTTCTTTGAAAACTTTGAAGTTGTTGAAGGTTCCCATAATTCTCTTTCTGAAGCCATATCGTTTTGAAGCAGAAAAAGCGACGACGACGAATGGAAGAAGAAGGATAAGAAGCACACAAGAAACATGTGTCTATTATATGCTTATTCTTCTCATTATATCATTTGTTTCGTTCTGTTCACTATTCTATCTTAACACAGTTTCATTTTTGAAGCATTTCAAATGAATTCATTTTCATTTTTCCATAATTGGCAGCAAAAGCAAATAGAAAACTTTGAATGTTAACTATATAAGGACACCTGCTTTCGATGAAGCATTTTGCTTTTCTCCTTATATAAAGACATCTTTTTATTTCTCCTTTTTTCATACATCTTCATTCACTTCAATTTTCTTTCATTGCTCATTATGAAGATTTAGTTGGGAAAAGAAGAGCAATTGTGCTTTTTGTGAAGAACAAGGTCACAAAGCGGACGAAAGGCAGCCATGTTCCATTCGCTGTCGCAACCGCCAACCACATTCATCACGACGTCATATCTGAATCTTCGTTAGAAAAGTCACAAAAAGATTTCTTTTTCCGTCCTCTCTTCATTTTTTTCTGCCATCTGAGAGCCATTCCATCATTTTTGTTACTTTCTCCATGCATTCGTATCTTAGCTTCTGTACTAGCAATAGATTTTAGCTTTTTCTCAAAAATTGAAAATTACTAAAAAAAAATAAAAAAAGATTGTTGAAGCACGTCAGGACATATTTGTGTGCCTCGTATCCACGACTGTGAAATAATCCGAAAAACTGTCTCGTTTCTTATCTACTTTCGTGGAGCAGGAGAAAAAAATGTGTTTATTGTTTTTTTCTCATCAATGCTCATTCTCGGCAGTTTTCTGTTTTTGATCAATTGGTTTAAGCTTAAAGGATGAGTACAGAAGAAGAAGAAGGAAGAAGCCCACATTGGCTTTTACTCTCTCAAAAATCGTATTTTCAGTTCCCTTTTTTGACATTTTTCTTAAAAACTCAAGTAGTTGTCAATACCAATGATATTTCGAAGCTGTGTGCCTATAATAAGAATAATGTCAGCTTTGATAAAATTCTATTTTGCAAATTAATTTAGAAGGGGAGGAGAGCAGAAGGGGAAATTATTCTAAAGACTTTTCTCTTTTCAAAAACTCATTTCCTATTACATTATCAGTTGAAGACACATTGTGATTACATACTATATTCACATCGAACATTATATTTTCTGCGCCATACTACTCACCATACATGCACATACACACACACATACACACACATGCACATGCACACAGATCCAAACTCACGCACACGCACATAGCCAGTTCGATTAACTGGAAAGAAGTTGTGAAAGATAGCAGCAAGCTCTTGTTCAAACTATTTATTTTGACAAATGATTCGATGATTTCACATCTGCTTTCCCATCTAAATCTCGTCAGTCTCCAGCAGTTCTGAACATGTTATTCCTCTCCATTCCCGGCTTCAACTCATTCAGTCATTTTTTTAAAAAAAATTAGTTAATTCTTAACTATCTCCTTCCGCTGTTTAAAGTTCATTGATTAAGTCAATATGTAAATCCAATATTAACATTGAAATGAATTTACTTTTTTCCTTCCCTCTATCTCTTCTACTATGCACTTAGCGATATGTGAAGTAAGCAGAAGCTTTTCCATTTATGAACGGTTTCATATTACTTTTGTCTATTTCTTTCAGCTTATCCTTCTTCTCAACGCCTTTCTATTCTCTCGAAAAGCTGCTTCAATCTCCTTTCTTTACTTTATCTTCTTTATATTCAACATTATTCACAATTATTCCACATTATATCCTTTTCTCATACTTTTGCTTCATTTTTTTAATCAAAATTTTCCATTTTTTCTTCTCCTCCATCAGATTCTGCCTCTTCTTCTTCGTCTTCTGCTTCTGCCTCTATCTATGGGTATGCGTGTGTTTCATTTTCGTTGCAAGACCACTCGATGATGGCAATCGCTTCTTGAATTAGAATCATCTCATACAACCATAACCAGCGGAATTAGCATTTTACGTGAAAAACGTGAAAAGTTTGTTTTTATTTTCATTTTTGTTTCTCCAACACCGTGCCCGGTCGCATTCATTATTTTATTTTTATTTATCTTTCTAATAATTTATCAAACATCATAAACGTTCATAAGCATATGAAGACGAGAGAGAGAAAGAGAGAGAAAGATCCAGTGGGATATAGAGAGAGAGGGAGAAGGATAAGAAGAGGATAGACGAAGAAGAAAATATTTTCTTTTTAAATACTAACCAAAAAAGGCTTTTTATTATATTATTTCTTTATTCTTCTCCTTATAAAAGAAATGAAATGAAAAAAATTTCTTCTTCTCCCATGCTTTTCTCTCTCTCTCTCCCAATCACTACCCTATCTTTCTCTCTCTTCTCTTCCTCCAAATGCAATTATCCATCAATCCATCTGTAAAATCACAAGTAAGCTCATTATTCAACTTAAAAATAAATTATTTTGTATTTGAATGTCCATTATTCATTAAAACCCCAGAGATTTAATCATACACATCATTCGTCTTTTTGTTTCCAAAAACGAAAAGAAAATCTTTTTTCTGCTCCGTTGTTAACTCCTTCAATTCGTTCTTGTTCTCATCATTTCAATTTTTAACTACGTTTGTTTCACGATATGCTGAAGCCAAATGGTCAAAGCTTCCCAGAAAGACGGCGAGATTCCAGTTTACATGAGGTAGTATGCCTAGATATATCAACAACAAAAAGCATAATAAAATATAGAGAAATCCTCAAAAATCATGAAAAATAGATACGAAACAACAGCGTGTGATCAGTGAGCTTGATATGATCGTAGTTGCAAAACTTTTCATTTTCAGGTTTCCGCAGATTTTATCAGGTTGAATGGAAGCCGACAACAGTTTCGAAACTTGTTATCGACAAGAAAAAAACTTGGATCATTACCTCCAGCTTACACAAGAATTGACTACAGTCGAGATTCATTGGATTCAAATGGTAAGGAAATCAGTACGCTTATACTTTGCATGCATAACCCCCGCAAAATAATTTTACCTTCGTTACTTTCTATCTATTTGTAAACAAACTGCTGTCTGTCTAATTAACCAATTCTATTTTTATAGTTAATCGTACTCCATATCATGGTCCTGTAATAACAGTTGAAGATACTGGATCTCAATTAAGAATAAATCATGTAAAACCGAGTATAACTGATAGTCTGCTTGAGTCTCAGAAAGGGTCTTTTGATAAAAGTACGTCATGTCTGTCTGTTATTTCCTTTTAACACACTTTTTTCCGAATTCATTTTTTGGTTTTTTTTCTAATTTCTATTTCAATTCAATTGAGTTACATCTCTCAACACAAGTAATAGTTCATTCTCCTTTTAAGCTGCTGTTGCTTTTTGTGAAAGTAATGGAAGTGTCGGATCATATCATTCAGCCAATAATCATCAATTCAGACGAAATAACAGTCGGTACGTTCTGTTTCTTGCTCATTTCTATAAATAGTAGAGAAATATTATAATTTTCATGAAATTTCTGATTTTTCTTCTCTTTTTTTTGTTATAACTCAGAAGATTAAATATTTCTTTCATTCAAACATGGTTTCAATTGTTATCCTTTTTGCTTCTGATCGAGATGAAACAAAAAAGAAACGAAAAAAACTATTCAATACGTGTGTCTGTGTTGTTATGTGGCTTTTTCACTTCGTCTCTCATACCACTTCATCTTGTAGTTATGGAGTTCCCGTTGATAGTAATCAAGTTAAAATGATTTACAAAGTTCGATCGGATCGATTACAGAATCGGTATGTTCAACTGTTTCATCTGACTTTCTAATTCAATAACTTCTATTCAGAGTTCGCATAACAGACAGATCTTTGTTTTTAGCTCTTCTGGGAATACTTTTTATGTTCATTGATGCTGAACTAACGGGCCAAGAGATGCTTGGAATCACCAAAGTTTTTCCCATTTTTGAAACTTTTAATTGCTTGTTTTGCTTTCCAGAAATCAACCATATCACTTTTCCTACGCTTATCATCACTTGTAACAACGATTTTTCTCCTCTTTAACATCGTTCGGTATCATCAGAATGACATTGTGGTTCGTTTGTTGCCTTTTCCGTCCACTAATTCGCATTCGTCACTCTTTCAGCTGGATCAAATAGACTGTGGAGCTGATGATTGGAGAGTTGTAGTAACGGCTGAGCGAATCCTTCAATTTACTTTGGAGTTCTGTTTATGCGCCATTTGTCCTTTGCCAAGTTCGTTAACATTCTCTGGAAAACAAAAATCTTCAAACTTTCAGTAAATTTCGATATGGAATGGTTATTTATTTTGACAAGCCGAACATCCACCGATAGCGGATCTTTTCATAAAGAATTGGTAAATCCTTTCTCAAATGCTCTTAGAAGAAGCAAATCTTTTGAGGTTCCATTGGATGTTCCATTATCTCTTCTGATGCTTTCTCGGGTTTATCTATTAGCACGCTTTATGGTATTACACAGCAAACAGTTCCAAGTGAATAATAGAATTGAAATGTGAATTCGGAACTAACTCATACATTCAGGATGCTTCTACACGAACATTGGCTGCTTTGAATAGAATTCAAGTGAACTTCTCGTTCGTAATGAAGACAGTCTTAGATCAACATCCAATCATGTTCTTAACGACATTCACACTGATATTCTGGTTGGTAACCTCATGGACTTTCGTGCAATGTGAAAGGTTAATCATCCATCCTCAAAAAATACTTTGAAAGTTCGCTGTTGTTAAGGTTTGGACAAAGTGCTCAAGACAAGCAAATGCCTTCTATTCTTTACTCAAACGCATTATGGTTCATCGGTAAATAATTTAAATGATATCTATTAATAACTTTGTCAATTCGAAAATACATTTTAATAATTAAAATAATTCAGCAATAACATTCATGCTGAATGGCTATGGTGATATCGTTCCACAAACTCATTGGGGACGGATCATTGCAATATTCGTAGGAGTCGTGGTATGTTTCACACATACTACACAAGCTGTTTCATTTTCTTGCGAAATCACAATTGTATGTTCAATCTTAAATTTAAGGGAGCCATCATTTCGTCCATTCTCATCGCTGTTATTTCAAGAAATATTTTATTAACACAAGGACAACGTAATGTTAATAATTTCATGATGGATAGCCGATTAACAAGGCAACATAAACATTCAGCTGCAAAAGTACATCTTATTACTCATTAATATTGTAATTGCCATCTTATATTAAGGTTCTTCAATACACATGGAGAATTCACAAATGCTTACAAGGAGGAATGGCTACGGATGGTACTTTACGCAAACATCAACGCAAATTCCTGAACGCCATTCATGAGTATGAACTTTCTCATTTCTAATACTCCGTCATCAATGCAACCGCACTCATCATCGTCATTTTCAAAAATGATTTATGTCGAACTCATGTAGACACAAATTATTCACGTCATTTACGTGATGATAGTTTTGAGTGTGTTGGGAATGTGAGGGGAAAATAAAAATAGAAAGGAGTTTATAAGAACATTAAGATGGATCAAAGATTTTAAAAATTGCTGTTTTCAGATTTCGGGCAATCAAAAACGAAATTCGTGTGTTTGGAGAAAGTAATTCTGCCAATAGTCAACAAGTCACACGCGTACGTTATCAATTGAGCTTAACAGTAAAGCATAATACCATTTAAGCTTGTTATCGAAATGCATAGTTCAATGCAAAAGCTGATATCAGCTCAAGAAGAGATGAGAGCTCAAATAGATGTTCTTCAAAGAGCTGTTCGAAATCATTATAATATCATCAATAGTCAAACCTCACAAGCTTCATTACCTCATGTAGAGAATAGCTCACAACGGTTCGTCTTTAAACAGTTTTCTTTATAAACTTCTATTGCTTGTCATCATATTAACAACTTTGATGCGTTTCACCATACTTCTCATAATCTCTCTACGTTAACATAGACATCTAATCCGGTAGTACAAGAAGTTCCAAGAAATCGAAAAAAAAAGATTTTTAAGAGAAAAAAGAAAAATTCTTCTTCAACACCCTTTCATCGCATTCGATTTCAAAGATGTTCTCATAGAATTTTGTTTTCTTTGCATTGTACTTTGTTTTCTGTTCAACATTTAAATAACTAATTTGTCAAACCTTTTTTTGGGTTTACATGTGTTGAGAGTAGAATTTCTATTCAGTGATATTCTATGGGAAGAAGGCTCCATATCTTCTGTTTCTCCATAAGGTAATTGAAATGGTCGGTCAGCTCGTTAAACCTGTGATTTTCCTGTTACTATAATCACGTTTCATTTTCATTTACTCCATATTATAGAAAAAAAAGCTTAACAGCATGAGATTAACATAAGCTTTTCTTAGGCACACTGTTGTATATCTAGCATGTAGAGTTTGTCCATATATGCTATGCTACAACGTATTCCGAACGAATTCAGTTGTTTTCCTGTTTATTTTTTTTTATTTTCCACCTGTTCATAAGTCAATGCATGTGTCAATGTATGAACAACCTTGGTATTCATCCAAGATCGACTTATACAAAACAAATTAACTCAACAAGCCCAAATGACATACTAGTTCCATTTCAGATACCAAGGAATGAGTGTTGCTCAAACTGAGAATTAAAACTTTATGAATTGATGCTTCAAAATGAAAAACAGAAAAACACATATTGTTTCAAGAGAAAAGGAATCTTCTTTTATAATAATTTTATTTTTTTATTTCCTCCACACGGGTCTAATGAAATGAATGTTCCTCGTTGTATAATGCTCCTCAAACGTTTTGCCTTCTTTGTTCATTACATAAACATCTCTATTTAACAGATTAATTGTCATTATACCATTTTCTTGTTCAGATTAAATTATTTTTATAAACGTTACCTTATACTCTTAAGAATTTCACTTTGAATACAAGAAGGAAAATTTGATCAATGTTACCCTCCTGTTGTGGCTTATTGCTTAATTTTCATCGCATGTCATCTGGCTCACGATTTACATGGTATGTCCGGTTTTCATACTTCATTTTCAAACTGTGAGCATGAGGCTTCCGGCTACCTGTTCCAGCTTCGAGCGCAAGTCCCCAACTCGCCCCATCTACGGTACACGGGCATAACACCCCCAGGTTGTTACTGTAGAGACTGTCGAAGCGAAAGATAACATCGAACTGATAACATTTTTTAATCGTAAAACAGTTTTGCTTATTACTGTGTATCTGTCTTCCTACGTGCATGAGTGTGTGCATGCATTCCGTATAGCAGAATGATTTATGATATAAGTTCTTCCGATACAACAGAGAAAAAAAAGAATTTGCATACACGAATGACATATAGCTGTTGCCATATGATGTCATTTGACGGGAAAGTTTAATGGAGAATTCTGAAAGTTTTAAGTTGTTTCCTACTACCGAACAGACGGAGGCTATTAGTCATTTAAAGCTGAAAAAGGAAAAAAATACAAAAGAATGAGACACAATTTCATTAAGTATTGAATTTCAATGAGATGACACGACTAACGTGTTGCCCGTTGATTGTCTTTGGTCAACTTTTAGAAAAGTAAATATTAAGCTAAATCTTTTTCAGATAGGAACATTCCCAATGAAGGAAGGTACAACTAATTCTCTTACATTGCTTCTTCCTCCTCTCAAATTTCATTATTATTAAGATGTTTCTCTCTCTCGCACACTCTCTCACTTTGTATCTCTCTCTCTTCTCTATTCGTCTACCTTTAACAAAACTTGCCCTGAACTCAATTTACTCTATGAATACAGAAGGTAGACGACACTTGAGAAGCTTAATGTCCACGTTTGGTCAAACTGCTTCTTCTCATCTCATCTATACAAGAAAAAGAGATGGATGTAGAAGCAGAGAGAAGAAGCCTCATTCTCCTCAAACACTTGAGAACCTGAGTTGTCGGCCGCTCCCGAAGAAGGAAAACCAACAGCTGTTAGAAGATAGTTCTACAGACATATGTACTACTTTGTGTGTTTTATAACCCTTATCTTTCCCTTCTTTTTTTTTCCATAAAATTAAGATCGCCAAAGCTTCTCCTCCCCACTCTCGCCTAGTTGCTTTCTTAGTTTTCGTCATCGAATAACTGTCACGAGATTCTGATTCATAAAATTAACCTTTCTATCTAGATGATGTGAAAAACAATTTTCTTTTCAAAAAAAATTTTCATTTTTACATACATTAGAGGTCTTCGAATGTCATTACATTTGCATAAAGACCAGCATGTTGTTCAGTCTGTCCTCTCAGATTTCTTTTTTGACTGTTTTTCTTGTATTTTCTCATTCGAAATCGTAACGAATTCTTAGATTCTCACCTACTCAATATCCTTATCAATCACTTGTCATCCTTTCAACAACATCATTTCCTCCGTACAATTATATTATTCCCCTCCGTCTTTTTATTCTCACAGATAACGATCTTCAGAAGGAAAATCCTCATATCCCAAACCGTCATTTGACTATTTCCAATAACCCATCACTCTTTGTTTTTTTTTCGAATTTCTTGGATCGTGCCCAAGTTCACTGTTTTCAAATAAATCTCTGCAGAGAAAAAGTCTTTTCTTTTCCTTTTTTGCCATTTTTTTCTCTTCACATTTCCGACAACCGCAGTCTTCTCATATAGCCCGACCCTCCTCTCCGGTCGCCCCGCCCACTTCTACATAGGGGCGATAGGACGTAATGAGAATAGAAGGACTGTTCCAATCGTAACGAATCAAATCATAACTATAATATTCACACTTCTATTTCATCTAACAATTGAGTTTTCTTCTTTTCCGTTTGCATGCTCGATAGAGATCTTCGTTTTCTTCCATTTTTACAGTTCGTTCGCCAAGTTGTAGTTGAGAACCATTTTTTCAACAAACTTGTCAAATATTTTTTTTTGATTGAACCGGATATGGCTGACTCATTTACTATCCTATTTCTTATTTTTTTCATCTATTTTTTTCAATGTGTTTTCGTCTGTAAAATCAGTTATTTTTCTTTGCTTTCTCTCATTTGGTTTCTGTCCGGATTTCAATGAACCTCTTATGTCTTCTCGACTTTCAAACAGTCCACATTATCACTTACGATCACTCATTGCTTCTCACTTTCTGCTCAAGTCCATTGTCACATCATATCCTCCATGCTATCATCAGAATTTTGTTTTTGTGGTCGATGAGCATCTCTTCAAACCTTCATAAACTCAGTAATAGTATCATAATCCCGGTTACTTCCATTCGTTTCTCTTTATATCTCTCCATCTCTCTCATCTACTCACCTTTTGACCCCTTCTCTCTATATATTCCTATTCTCGTTTCAGCCATCGTTATCCGCCTTAACCGGAACGTAATTACCTGTCACGACGCCCGATTGTTTTCTCGATTGTCCATACACGGTCATACAGCTTTACCTACCGCTCAACACCTGCCTTATTTCCGGATCGAACGCCAGTTGCCATACATCTAAAATCTTTTTTTTGGTCGTTATTTTCTAAGAAAAAAAAACACCTGGCCAACAAGAACTGTCAATCAGTTTGTGTGCATGAGAGTCTGAGCAACAAGTCATGAGCCGATTGCTCTTACTGCTGGCTTTATCGTCAAACCGTGAGTTTTACTTTTTTTATTTTTTTTTCTTCTTCTAATGTAATGATGTGATGTTACTTATTCAATTAACACCCATTTTGCTTTTTACGATTCATGAACCAGTTTTCTAAGCTAATTTACTTAATTTATCCATTTTGTTCTGATCAAATGGATAACCTATTCGTTCTATCTCAAAGATATGGCTGAAGCTCAAGTTTGAAATTATTAGACAGAACTGCTGACATCCAGCCTCTCATAATACTTATCTTTTTTATTTGTTTTGAGGTTCTTGAACAAAAAAAGAACAGCCAATGGGTCAGCAGGTGATGTTTCATCTCATAGAAAATACATAAAATGCAGAGAAATGATGGAGGAACAGAGATGATTCATAACCTCTTCTCTGCAGATCATCATCATCCTCATCATCATCATCATCATATCAAATAGTTTTTCATATTTGTTCTCAGCCATTGGCTCCATAAGTTTGAGTTTCTCTCTGTGTCTCTCTCATTATCCTCATAGCCTCTTCATCTCTTTCCAACTATTATATATCCTTTCGGCTTTAGAAAGATTTAATATAACTCTGCTATTAATTGAACATTATTTATTCTTTAACAGCTATTTGATTCTTCTTTTTTTTTCATCTCTTTTGATTATTAGCAAATACAATAGAATCTGAAACCGTAAAAAGGGTTTGCCGGATGTGTCGGTCGTTCATCTTCATTCCATAAAGATGTTCTCTCTGAGTAAACTTCCCATCCATCTTTTCAACCAAAAACATCAATAGCTTTACTGTTTGTGTATAATAAACATATTTATTTTATTTTAAAATAAATAATAATATGAATATAATGTATGCGATCTGACATAGTGACCTTAGATGGAATAAGGCCTTCTTGATTAGTTTGTGTCCTCAAAAACTTGCCAGACGCTTCGAAATTTTTTGCGCTCCAGCCGATATAGAGAAAAACGAAAGCTGTTCGTATGAACCAGTAGAAATATTTTTTGGTTGAAAAAAAAAATGAAAACTGGATTACAGGTGGTCCGCAACCATTTGAATCTAGAAATTTGAAAGATACTAATTGTCCATTCAATGATTACATTGAAGGTGAATTAGAATATGAAAAAAACCTTTTCTTTCATTCCTAAAACATTACATCCGATGTCTGTACTCATCTCTCCCCCTCTCTCTTCCTCACTACCTTACTCTCAGTTTACACTCTCTCTCTTCAAACTGTAATAGTCAGATTGACCTTTTATGGATAATAAAGAGAGTAAAAAAATAAAAAAATAGCAACAAAATGTTTTTCGTCACACCTTTTGCCTTCATCGAAATTGACCAACAATAGTCATTTCGTCATATAACTTCCTCTCCTGTCTTAAGCATTCCCCATATTGGCCAAGGACGATGACATACGTTATTTTTCTTTTTGGGCATTATAAAAACGGAATGGTTAACAAGCGCATAGCGGATTCCTTTTGATTTCATTCTCAATAAACGAAACCTCTAATTGTCATCACAAATACATAAATATATCCATAAAATCCATTTGAAGACATTGCCTATGAAGCATCTATCTGATTTCCCTTTATTACTTTATAATTATCATTCTTCTTTCCAATTCTCCAAATAGTCATACTTGAAATGTTACAAGAACACTCGTCCCTTCAACGTATCCCATCGAGTTCCATTTCACAATTTTTTTATCGAAACTTCATTGACCAATTGAAAATGATCGTTTCAATTTCATTCGGAACATGCGGCTCGCGATGAACGGTTGTTATTTTTTTTTTCTCCAATCATCCTGTATTCAAGTGAATCCGTCATTTTTTCATCTCAAACATATCATTCTGTTTTTTTCCTCTTTATTTTCAAGGGAAAAATAGGGGATTAAACAATATGGAATGGTGACCTACGTATTAGAAAGGTTATGATATGCTGACATAGGCATCTTAATACCCATGAAAGACTAACACAACCTCTTGTCGACCTATACATGACGTCAGTGATCTTCAAAAAGAAGGCGCCAAGGGATTTCGTTTTAAAAACTTCTACTTACCGGCGGAAGCTAAGAGTTGATAAGGCAAGCAAACAATGAAGTAACAACTTCTTTCAATGATATATGTGTTATCATAAGATAAGAAAAACGTGTGATGATGATGAATTGTTTTGTTACTTCATACATTCATGGCCTGTTTGTTATTTGAGGGAGATTTAACCATAATTTTCTCAAATCAATCAATGTACCAACCTTGTCTATCAATAGGTGCAATAACCCTTGTATGTGCAGACGAAACAACAAAATCTAATAGAGGAAAATATAATAATTGTCAGTTATCTGACTGACTGACGGATTCTCCCTATATGGTCATCATCAGTCAATAATTACATCCGAATTAACCCATTGATGAAGAGGAGAGAGAAAAAGAGAATTAACATAGTAAAAGTACACGAAGGCCATTAAAAAGATTCTTTATATCTCACTCTAACACTAATTCTCTTTCTGCTTCTTTGACTCTCTCTCTCTCTCTCCCTCTATCTGACCATCCGAAATGTTTTTGAGCACATTTACGTTTTTGATTGAACTACACGAACATCAAATAAAAAAACAACATTTATCATTAAATTCTTAATTGAGCTAAACATCTTATTTCAAATAATAAACTTGAAAGCCTTTGAGAGGATATAGGGTTAGATCATTTTCTCTTCCTTTTTTAAACTCTTCGCTCGAACAATGTTTGCTTTTTTATTGAACAAAAAAAAAGGTTGAGCATGTTGTATGGGGAGAGAGAAGACTTCTAAGTGGACATCACAACTTTTTTTCAAAAGAAGATTTCATTTGTGCAAAAAAGAAACATTCAACAGTCAATTTTTGTCTTTCAGTTATATTAGCTGAGAGATTATGTAACAGCAACATATGTATGAATGGTGGAACTTGCAAAGTAGATGAAGTATCAAGGAAATATAATTGTTACTGTCTACCGAACTTCTCGGGATCACTTTGTCAAGATGTCTGTAGTAAAAAATGTGCTAATGGTGTTTGTGTGAAAGGAGCACAAGGAGTTGAAGAATGCCAATGCAAAGACGGTATTTTCCCGTTTCTCCTTCCCTTCAATACAATATCGTGTTCAGGATGGTCTGGAATCTTATGTGAAGTGTCTGGTTCGACTATTGAAGGATGTATCCGCTCTGAAGACTGTTCTGATGGCAAAAAGTGAGTTTGGAAAGCAGAATTGAATACCAAACAACTATACCATCCTTAAGATGTATTGAAAATGAACGAGGCTTGAAGGTTTGCCTGGCGGATCCTTGCGATATGAATCCTTGTAAAAACAATGCGACTTGTCATGCTGAAACAGTAAGTCATCCACTATTCAGATAACACAGAGGTCATTTCTAGTTCGATTAGTAATTTTTAAATTCATTCTTTTTTATCAGAAAACTCATTTGTTCGCTGAACTGTTCGAATACCTTTTTGATTGAAATCTCTTTGTGAATCATCGATCCGGCAAATCTTTTCTATTTCTTTGCCGTTCACGGATCATCGCTTTATGAGAAGTGACTGATCCTAAAAAACATTTGAAACCTCCTGTGTAGTTTTCCTCTATTTTGTTTGGAAAAATCAATACGGAGTTACTATACACTTAGTTTTCAACGTGAAATTAGCATAAACGCCCCAATTTGTAAAAATGACGTGAATGACGTGTAATGATCCAATTTCAACTTAGTTTCACTTTTTTTCTTCAAGACCAGCTGTGTTCTACACCTATTTACGTTTTCTGAGTAATTTTGAAATGGTTTACAGGATGATTATCACTGTGATTGTCCACTTGGCTATGGAGGGAAAAATTGTGATACTGACGTGAACGAGTGCGAGCTTTCACCGTGTAGGAACGGGGCGACGTGCATCAATTTGGACGGTACTTTTGAGTGTTTGTGTAATGAACGGTTCAAAGGTAAAGTATTTGAGTGGAATAGCGTTAAATGTGCTTTTAAAGGAGTTTTATGTGCTGATGCTGACTTACCTTGTTCTCCGAATCCGTGCAAGAACAATGGAGAATGCGTTGAAATGATAGATGATTTTCATTGTATTTGCTCTAACGAGTTTGCTGGAAAAACATGTGACATCGAAGTAATTAATTTTAATTTTTCTGATCAAACTTTGCATAATTACAGATATCAAGTGGAACAGTTGATGCATGTCAGCCAAGCCCATGTTTGAACGGTGGTAGATGTAATCCTACTGAGGAAAGCTATGAATGCCTTTGTCATCCTGATTACAGCGGTGAAAATTGCGAAATTGTCACAGAATGTACTGTCGAAGGTTAGTGTTTTTGTATTTTGTAACTTATTCAAAATTAAATTCTGTACAGGTAGACGTTGTATGAATGGTGGTACTTGTGTTCGTGGATTGAGCAGAACGTACTGTAAATGTTCAACTGACTATGCTGGTGTATTTTGTGAAACACTGCAACTAAATTTCGAGGTTGATCCATGTTTGGAGAAGCCTTGTCTCAACGGAGGTGCTTGTTTGATCTTTCCATCATCTTATTCTATAGTTTTCAGGAACATGTTCGAATAGAGATGGCAACATCACATGTGACTGTTTACCACTGTATCATGGTCCGTTCTGTGGAGCCTTAACTTCCGTCGATCCATGTCAGCCAAATCCATGCCAAAATAATGGTCATTGTGAACCTGTTGGAGATCCGTCTGAAGGAGGGTTCTCTTGCAGATGTTCGGATCGTTTCGCAGGAAATATGTGTGAAACAATGGTGTGTTTCTCTTCATACAACACTTCTAAGTTATCTTTAAAGGTGTCGACATTTCGGTCAGGAATTTCGGAAGTGACCATTCATACAACAACAGATTCCAAATTAACTTCTCAAAACGTCTTCACAATACCACCAACACTGAAACCTCATCAGTTTGTTAGTTCCCATTTGCTTTATGGAAAAAAACTCTCTTTTTTCAGTTATCAACTTGTGAAGCATGCGTTAACTCTGAAAAATGCATCGAGACCGAAGATGCTTCGGTTTGCATTTGCCTTCCCGGATATTCTGGAGTGACCTGTGAGAAACGTGGCGATGTATAGTGCTTTCCCTAATTTATTCTCTAATGCAAATGTTACAGATCTGTGATAATAGCAAATGTACGAAACCGCAGGTTTGCCGTAAGAGAGTACGAATTGCTGACTCTGAAATTCGCTGTGCTTGTCCAGCAGGATTTGTCGGCGAGTTGTGCAATGTTGATACAACTGTGTCTTTTACCGAAAACAGCTTATTTATCTATCAAAATCCTAATCTAATGATAGGGTCAGTTTCAAAATCATGATACAGAAATAACAAATTCAAATTTTCAGTTCGTCATCAGGTGTTCTGCCCTACGATGTTTCTTTCTCATTCCGAACGACTGTACCAAATGTTCACCTTGTTTCAGCTGATAGCATATTTGCATCGGTATACCTTAGTGCTCGGATATAAAAACCTTTTAGTGTTATAGAAACTATTTTCCCTATATTTGGACTCTGGAAAGCTGACGTTGAACATTACGGGCACTGTATACAAGAAAGTTTCAACAGTTGCCATTAACGATGGTCAATGGTATACAGTGGAACTCCAAAAAACTCAGAAAGATTTCCAAGTCAACCTACTGGAGGAGAGTGGATACGAAATTTTGAGCAAATCGTTCCCTCGGAACTCTCAATTTGAAATTTATTCGACAAGAATAGGAAAAGTTTCCGACACTGACTTCTTCCTTGGATGCATCTCGAACTTGAAAGTTGATGCAGTTGATATTCCCATGTTTTCTTCGAATAGAGGAAGATTCTTGCAACCAGGTATGACTGATTTTACATTCAAACTAATTAATCAAATTCATCAGGATGTAAACGAATCCCTCAGTGTAAGGAAAACCAATGTCAGAACGAAGGAGCTTGCATAGACTTGTGGACAAAATCAACATGCGATTGCAAGCCTCCTTTCCTTCCCCCTAACTGCGCTTTCAGTCTTCTCCCAGCAACATTCGGTCATAACAATAAAAGCTCCCTAGTGGAGATAAGGTGAGAATACCTTCATAGAAATCTTAATTATATTAAATTTAAGTGTTCCCAATGAATTGTCTGAAAACTTCCGCACTGAAACGAACATACAATTTCTGTTAAAAACTAATAAGCCTTCTGGTTCTATTTTATATTTGGGAGAAGCCGAAGCAGATGAAGTTGGAACTTTCACTTCGGTTGAATTGGTCAATGGAACGATATCAGGTGTGGAAAAGCTATTGAGTATGAAAATGATGAAGTTTTAGTGAGAACGAGAGCTGGTGGAAAAGCTGTTAATGTGTTGACCGGCAGACGATCTGTTATCGATAGTAACGAACATTTAGTTAGAATCGAACGAACCCAAAGACATGTCAAGGTTGGATGCTTCCAGAAGCAATCACATTCATAATTTCTTTCAGCTTTTCGTTGACGGAATTTTCGAATCAGAAGGAGATATAACTTCTCGATTTGATCATCCAATGTTCGTTGAAAAGTTAGTGATAGGCAGCCCTGATAATGAAACAGTAAAAGCTTTTACTTCTACAGCATACTACAAAGGTATTTTGATCTTTCAAACAATTAATATCCCTCAAACTCTGATTTAAGGTTCTCTGCAAGATATTCGAGTAAATGATATATCCGCTATACTCGAGAACGAGCCAGCTGTAAACATGGATGGAATTGGTCGAATCGTACAGATGGAAAACGTTCAGGAAGTACGAATAGAGGAATATTGAATTATTTAATTTTTTCCCATCTTAGGGTCTTGTATCGGATGATATTTGCACTGCTATACAGCCTTGTGATCATGGAACTTGCTATAATACCTTCAATGATTATGAATGTGTCTGCCAAATGGGCTTCTTTGGAAAAAATTGCGAGCAAAAAGACTACTGTATCACTTCACCTTGTCCAGCAGACGGTACTTGCCAGAACGTTAACGGAGGATTCATTTGTGAGATCCTACTATTGATACTTGATTATCTTAATAATGCTTTAGGCACTTCATCAGCTTCGTTAGTAAAGGAGAGTATCTTGATGTATAACTTGGACGTTGCTGAAGCCGAAGAATTATCGTTCATTGAACTGTCTATTCGAACACATTCAGATCACGGACGTATTTTCACAATGGTATCATCTTGAAAGTTGACAGAACTTTCTAAACTTACTACTTTAAGAATTCTGAAATTGGGAATATTGTTATGAGCATTGTTAACAAGCAGTTGGTCATAACAACTTCATCCCCATTTACAATTCGAAAAACCATCGCTGATGGAACCTGGAAAAATATTCGTTTAGAAGGAAACATACTGAAGATCAATAACGCTAGCTATGGTAAGTTCGTAATATCATAATGAATAACATGAGAATTTTAAGGTTTGCCGTCCTCTTTAACCATCCCTACTCCTTTGAACAAGGCACACTTGACTCTTGGAACGTTCGGATCATTCCCTTCATTTGTTGGATGCATCGATAAAGTCAGATTTGGAAACACCCCAGTGCTGTCGTTCTATCGTGAAGAAGATTTGAAAATTCCCTCTGATTTGCATTATTGGAAGAATTCTCAAAGAAAAAGGGTATAAAATTTTAAATAATAGGAAATTAAGTATCCATACTGTGCTTCAGATCTCAACTAAATGTCTCTCATCCCCTCAGTGTGGTGATATGTCTCCGTGCTTGAATGGTGCTGAATGTCGAGATGAATGGAATTCATTCCGGTGTTTGTGTTCATTTGGATTCACTGGAGCACGTTGTGAGATCAACATTAACGAATGTGAAAAAGCGGATTGTGTTTATGGACATTGTATTGACAGCTTAGGAGATTATAGGTAATCAATTATTAAACATTACCTTTGTCTATACGATCACTCGAAATCTAAAGTTGTTATATTCAGATGTCAATGTGATGTAGGGTACACAGGACTGTTGTGCGATACCATCATTGATCAATGTGCTAATAATCCTTGTCAAAACAACGCGTTATGTTCTTCCGCTAATGGAAGTGTATCCTGTGAATGTGTGAACGACTGGAGAGGAAAGTTCTGTGATATACCGAAGCCACAGTCGTGTGAATTGAATCCTTGTCAGAACAATGGAACTTGTAGAATCATGGAGGTAAAAAGTTGATCGCTTTCATTAACATCTTTGGAACTATTCAGGACAAGGTGTCTTGCTCATGTCTCCAAGGGACAACTGGAGAATTCTGTGAAGCTGTTCATGATGCTTGCTCCACGAGACCGTGTTTGAATGGTGTTTGTCAGAAGACTCGAACTGGGTTCACTTGCATATGTGAGGAAGGATTTGCTGGTCAAACATGTTCTGAAATTGCTGATTACTGTACTACTGATTCTTGTGGCATTCGTGGTAAATGTATACCGGCATGGAACAACACAATGTGTGATTGTGACGAAGTAAGCGGATTTTTTACATAAGCTCGTTATGCTTTTAAATTGGAGGGTTTCGTTGGGAAAAAGTGTACGAAGCAGCAAGATGCCTGCTTGACAATTCCTTGTGAGAACGATGGTGAATGCTCAAGTTCAGGACCGTTGTTCAAATGTAATTGTCGCAACTATTATCTAGGTATATTAGTATCTGCAAAGTGTGTGAAGAATAATATGTTAAGGTGACCGTTGTGAAGTAGAAGGCTCATGTTTAACTAATCCTTGCGAACATGGAGACTGTATTCAACTGAAACATGATGAACACGCATGTAGATGTCACAAAGGTTATGAAGGAGCCAACTGCGCAGTAAGAATAAAATCAAATCATTAATAATCTTCAATATAATATCTAGACTAAAATTGATTATTGTAAACTCTCACCATGTCGGAATGGAGCTAGATGTGAGTCTCTAATTGGTGAATACAAATGTCATTGTCTTGCTGGTTTCAATGGTAGTTTATTCGATTATAAGAAATAAGTGAAGCTCTCGATTTTTAGGGTCCAACTGTGAAGAGGACATCGATGAATGTGCTTTCGGTTTCTGCAGCAATGGTTCGAAGTGTTTGGACCATGTTAATGACTACGAATGTGTTTGTAATGACACTGGATACAAAGGTTAGTGAAAATTAGGCTAACAGTTTCTTCATCAGTTATTGCTATGTTTCACTGTGCCGGAAACGAATCTGATTGCGTTAATAATTTGTTTACAGGTAAAAACTGTACTGAGGATGTAGATGAATGTGCAGTGACAACTAGTTGTATACATGGGGTGTGTACTAACATAGACGGTGGTTACAGATGCAACTGTCAACACGGTAAGTATATACTTTAA